AATCAACTACCCTGAAGAAGAGGTAGGAATGCCATTTGGGCCCAGGATCTTCACCAACATACAAAAGACATTTAATAGTGTAATAGAAGCCAAAAAATCTTGCCGAAAACCCTGCCCACAGATACAAAGCAGAATCTGGCTGCCATAAGAGACTGAGACACAAAAGCAGAAAAAGACCCAACTCAGGGACCAATAACACAAAGATCACTTAATACTGGGGCCTGTATAGCGGAACTGCAAATATGAGTGGTTTTCAAAAAGTTCAAGGAGAATGTTATTATGAAAAAGTATGCATGTATTTCAAAAATTTCTGCATCAAAATTAAAACACACTTTAATTCCATTTTCCATGAACGTTTATTCAAATTCCCCTCATTAACTCACCAACAACCTCAGCCCAGAAATGAGTAATAAGACAGAGAAAAAACATGAAGACAGAGTCCTACTGTGATCCAGTTTAGCAGGGATTACTGAAAGCTCTGAGAAAGAACACTAAAAACAGTTCAACACACCAGACTCCAAACTAAGCACCAAGAAACTGGAACCTACTGTTGTACACTAAAGTGATACACTGAAGGTGACAACAGCATTAATGCAGCACCAACCGTTTAACAACTGACAAAACTAACTCAGCCACTCATATTAACTGTCTTAGAGAAGAAGGGGACCTATTTCTGTATAAATAACTTGTTCACCTAAGCTTCTACTGTCCTACATGTAATGTGTGACATGCAATAAGAAACCTAAGACTTTTATAACAGACAAAAAATAAAACCAAACCATTGTTACGAGATAAAGGAATCAATAGTACAGACTGAGATGATTCAGATGTTGATATGACCAGAAAGTGACTTTAAGATAACTGACTGACATGTTAAAGGATCTAATGGAAAAGACACAATATATGTGAAGAGACGGAGAATTCAACAGAGTCCAATGGACAAGGTAGAAATAAAAACACTATGCCAAAGGATGAATTTGACAGACTTATTGGTAGACTAGAAACAAAGAAAAAAACCACTGATTGAAGAGAGGAATAGAAATCATCAAAGTAAAATATAAAACTTAAAAATAAATTGGTCTAGAACACATGTGAAGACTCAGAAAAACAGAACAGGAAAATACATTTAAAGATAAGGGCAGAGAATCTTCCATAATTAATAAAAATTTATTTTATACAAAGAAGTTCTGAGCACCCCAAGAAAAGTAGATCAACAACAACAATACACTAACCCCTACCTAAACACACCATAATCTAACTGTTAAAAATCAAGAGCCAGGAGAAAATCTTCAAAGGAAAACAGGGGGAAAATAATCATACACAGGAAAAAAAAAAGAGAGTGACATCTGACTTCTCATAAAAACTATACAAGCCAGAAGACAGTGTCAGAGAATCTTTAATTACTGAAAGTAAAAAAAACCTGTCAAGACATAATTCTGTATGTAATAAAGCTATCTTTCAAAAATAAAGGCCTTATCAGACAAATGAAATATGAGATAAGTCATTGCAAAGAGATCTTCACTATAAGAACTATCAAAGGAGGTTTGTTCGGCAAAAGGACCGTATTACTAAAGAAAAGCTGGATATACACAAAGGAATAGTGCTGGAAAATGGTCAAAATTAAGTCAAATACAAAAGATTCATGACATTATTTAATCAATTTAAAAATAACTGACTAGCAAACCTATCATCAACATATTGGAGTGGGTTTTATATGTAGAGGCTAATAACAGAACAACTGGAAGTATACCATTACAAGGTTTTTTCACTGTATGTAACATGGTATATTATTTGACAGCACACTATGATCAGTTCAAGATGAATACTGTAGAGGCCAACAGGTGGCATGGTGGTTAAGGCACCAAACTCCCACATGGCTGGCCACAGTGTGAATCCTGGACCTGATGGCTTGCTTTCTCACTCTTTCTGTTTCTCTCTCTATTGTTCTCTGGTAAGCTCATGTATCCCATAGCAAATTAAAAATGACAATAAATAAAATTAAATAAATAATTCTCTTTAAAAAGTTGTATAATGTAAATACTAGAGAATCCACTTTAAAAAAAAAGAAATAGCCCCCGGGCCCCACACCATGGCTGCGACCAGCAGCGGGACTTGCGCGGGCCCTCCCGGGCTCAGCGCGTTTCCCCCGGGACCCGCGCCAAGGCGGCGGCAGGTGCCGCCATGCCCCCCCACCCTCCGGCGAAGTCGTAAAAAAAAAAAAGAAATAATCCATGTGGAAATGAAAAGAAATTATTAAAAAGCACTGGATTGTTCCAAAAGAAATCAAGGAAAGAGAAAAATCAGAACAAAAAGAAAGAAAAAAGTCAACCAGCAAGATGTCAGATTTGAAAAATTATGAAAAATTACATTATTTGTAATGATTTAAACAATGCAATTAAAGGTAGAAACTGTAAAATTACATAAAAATAGTAAGACTCAACTCTAGACTGTCTATAAGAAACCCATTTTAAGCAGACATACAAAATGACATATCAGGTTGTTATTTCTCAAAAGAAAGCTAATACGGCTATATTAATACCAGGAAAATCTGATCAATATCAAGCCTGAGACACCTGTGTGGGCCATAGCACTGAATACAAATTGAATGAGAGGGTAAAATAAATGGTCTCTCTCTTTGATTGCCTTGCGCCTCAACATCCATGTTTGCATAGAACCACACAGAGAGGATTCCCCAGGCTCACAGTTTCTACAATGAGAAAAGTGAACTGAAGTGGACATCTAGCTTCCCTAGATTTCCCAGAAAGCCTACGCTGGTCTCATCTCAAAGGAAACACAGGGAGTAATAGCACAGATAGATCACCTGAGGTCAGGTAGAAATAGAGCAAGTAGGCTGAGCTCACAGCAATCAGTGTTCAGATCTTCATGGTGGCTTAGTGCACCTGTTAGTGGTGACTCCTGATCAAAAGTACCGGCCAATAGCACAGTCTACCTGCAAAGCCAATCTGGCTGCTCCCAGAAATGGTGGAAAATTCTATCTGGCTTGTATTTCTAGACAGTAGGATTCTGGGCTCAATCTAACACCATGGACTCCACACTCCACTCAGGGAATGACATACTCTCCATATTACAATTCAGAAAAGAAAAGGCTCTACTTGTACCACCTTTGTGAGTTTAAATAGCTTCAACCTTTAGTTATTTTTCTAGCTCTTAGATTTTCTACTATTATCTTAGATAATTTAAATTAAACATGGTTGCCAGCAAATTCTTTTCTAGAGAAAATAAAAGCAAAATTCAATTTGCTTATGTTTTGCTGCTGGTCACCTCATGAATGTGCTTTACCAAGGAGAGCACTACTGTAGGCATTTATTGTGCTACATTAACATAAATAAACCTGAGAAAAGCTACTAAGTCAAATTTTGACAAGTGAATTGTGTGTTTTTGTGTGGCAGGCTTATTTCTAAAATGAAAATAAAGCAGAAAACCTAATATAAGGTGATCATTTTGATAATCTGAATTAGGAACTTAAGTCTGTCAAAGAAACTTATACATGGAAAGTTGTTCCTGAAAAATACAGGGCACCGACAGTGCTTTGTAATAGAAGTATACTTTATAAATATTTTAATTCAAATGTTTTCAAAGAATTTAAGATTCCTTAAATTCATCTTCATAAATCTGAATTCAAATCTTTTTCTGTGGATACAAAATTGCAAAACACAGTAGTAAAGGAGAAATAGGCATAGACATTCCTCACAGTAGAGTGAAGCATAGTAGCTTATAAGAGTAGAAATCTCTAATGAATTAGCGAAAGTAAATATATCACCAAATGACTAAAAATCAGAAAAGAGAGACTGCAAAGTGAGCAGGAGGGAGAAGTACAAAGCTGCAGAGTACGTGGCTGACCTTCTCCCACACACCTCTAAATTCTTAGTTGAATTCCTGAAGTTCAGCCCAGGTGCACCTGTTCTTCAGAAACTGGGAGGCCTTTGTAATATCTAGTTCCTTTGACAGAAGTGCAGGTTGCTTGATGAGGTTCAGGGAAATGAAACAACAGAAATGTTGCAGGTCATCTCTTCCTGCACGCCTCTAACACTCAGAATTAACTCCAAGAAAGTAAGAAGTAATGTATAATCCGTCAGATGAACAGAG